CTATATGCAACCAATAATGCGTAGTTTAGTTGAGTGATTCCTCCACAGATGGACGTTCACAACGATCCTAGTGAGCAAACGTGGAATGACTGTTGGCTCCCTAAAAACTACCTAGTTTGCAAGTTGACATCTTATAGGTTTTTTTTGACGTTTTGTAGATCTTTAAATGATACCCGTGCGGATTGCAGGTAGTGATGAACAGCATCAATGTTGCTGTTAATCCCGCAGATGTTCTAAAAACAAATTTTGTCTTCGATGTTGTTCCCTCGCGCCCACTACAATGATTATTGCCATTAGATGGAGCCATTCCTTCGCTTACCTGAAAAAAGAATGAACTCTCCAGGTGGAGTTGGGAACGAGGAGCTGATTTAAGGTATTTCAAATGTCTCCAACGATTGATTATAAATATCAAACTGTACGGTATGCTCAGGCGTATACAATATATAGATTTTCATAAAAAGATGCTTATACTCGTAGTATGAGATTACGGTTAACAAAATATACTGAATGCAATAATGACTAGTAGTGCTGTAATTTTGAGCATTACTTTTACAAGTTTTAGGTTTACTGATAAAAAATGTGATTAAAATTTTAACTCGAAATTTCGCAAAATAGTTGAGATATCCCACCTTAATTATAATAATGTATTAAAGCTCCTATGATGTCTTCCTGGTGTATTGCATCCCAGGTGATTTGAATTTGGTTTTGTAGGGCCTCCAATGTTTGTGAGGGTGCAACCTTCTTCCCATCATGTCCCATACATTGTCACGTGCCAAAATCACGTAACCTTTTTTTTACTATTTATCCGTAATTTGAATTTCTCGTGATTGATAATAGAGTGCCCATTCCTAGGCCAACCCCCTTTCAATGATTTTTTTTTTGCAAATTTAATAGTTTATTGATTGTGTAATTTCACTCGTATTATATCTTTCTTTCTCAGCGATTCAGTATGGTGTTGACGATCAGCAAAAACATTCTGTAGTTTTTATCCGTTAGCTGGTTTCCTATACCACCATCTAACGTCGCAAACATTGTCGTGGAAATGGTTTTGGCATATTATCGAAAAGATTCAGAATATTCATTCAATGGCTAATTTACAGCCAGAGAAAATGAAAATTGTAGTAATGGCTTGTGTATGCCTGCACAATTTTATCCGAAGAAATGACGTTGATGTTGAGGATAATATGATAACGATACCGGCACCAATATTGCAATAAATTGAAATTTGGAACTTCAATGGTCAGAAATGAGTTGATGAACTATTTTCTTTCAGAGCAAGGACAACTTCCATGGCAAACTTACATTTCATAATCAAACATATTTTTTAGGTAACAATATTATTTAGCGTATGAATCTATATAATGAGATTTTTAAGTATAACTTTGACCAGGTAACATTTTGTTAATCTGTGTAGCCCCACTAATCTCACTATCAATGACAATTTGCAATAATAGTTTTAATTATTAAATCCTTAATGTAGCATCATAAATCTAAAAGAGTTTTAATTATTTTCCAAATATGAAAAAAGGCTGTACACTTTCAGCTGTCGAAGTGGTAAAATATCCTTGAGCTGCCTCCACCCTGGAAGGTCTTGAGTAAACGCCCATTTCAGCCTGGTAATTTATATTTTGAATATGATAGTGTACTATAGATATTGTCATAGGATCCATTTTTAGTATTTTACTTGCTATGTATTCTCCGAATACCGAGGCATCGTCGCGAGCAGATTACGAAGCTGACATATTTTTTAAAACTTGCAGAGCTTCGGCAATATCACTGTCTCCATCAGTACCGCATCTCCTTTTCCGGGAACTAGTCGCTGTGACATTGTCTTGCTGACTTTTTTGCGAATCCATCTATAAATAGACGGAAATAATATGATTTTCTATCATGGGAGTTATTTAATATTTATACTAGATTTATTGGTAAGCAGTCTCTATAGTTCCTTTAGATCTATTGAAGGAACAACTGATACAAAAAAGTAACATTAGTTCCTTCAAAGGAACTAACAAAGGAACTACTGTGAACAAAGGATCGGATCTACTGAACCAATTTATATTGATTTACAACTGATAAAATAAACAAGAAATATTGGAAATATGAATACTTACATCATTCTCACTATTTACTGTGGGTAGTGGTTTATTTTTGTCTCGCAAAAAGTTCAATGCTTTGTAAGCAAACCACTTTGGTTCCTGTACATCGTCTATGCCTGCACCAGATTTGTGTAACTGTTCTAACTTGTTTTTTTCCCGAAAATAATGAGAGGTTAAATTTTTTAAGTTTCTCTCTACTTCGCCTTTATCAATGTCAAATACACTTGCAATTATGTTCAATGCGTCCATTCGTTTGTAGTAGTCTGCGTTCTGGGATTCCATAATATATCATTTTCATGA